TTTGGTAACCAAATCGATGGCATAACCAAAACAGACTTGCAAACAGATTTGCAAGTTGCAAAACCAACCATTGTGATTGGTTTGATTTGCGACAAGAGTTCCAATAAATAGCACCCTTCGGTTTCTCATTTTACACACCAAATCGAGAGAAGCAACAGAGAGTTAGAGAGAGTAATCCACAGATTGTAGTCTATGAGATAAATAGTGAGTGGGAGTAATATTGTAGTGAGGTATTTAAAATAAAGAGTGTTATTTCTTTCGAAGTTGTAGTAGTCTCTTGACACTACTAAGTTATAATATTATAGTGGTAATATTGCTCCACTGGGGTATTGTATTTTATCCCGTTAAAATATTTGATATCGTTGTTACTCTCTTGTGTTATTATTATTTACCGTGGATATTATTCCTGGGCGGGATTATTTTTTTTCCCAACAACGTGGTATCAGAGCTATGGCGAATAATAGTCCGCTGTCTTTTCAGTATCCCCGTCTCACAAAAGATAATTATGAGAAATGATGTCTACGTATAAAAGCCATTCTTGGCTCCCAGGATGTGTGAGAAATCGTAGATAGAGGGTATGTAAAACCCAATAATGAGGAAGCTCTGCCTCAAAATGAAAAAGATGTCTTGGCAAAGACAAGGAAGAAGGATCAACAAGCCCTCACGCTCATCCACCAATATTTGGATGATGCCATGTTTGAGAAGGTGGCAGATGCTACCACCTCAAAGGAAGCTTGAGAGATTTTACAAAATTCTCTTCAAGGAGTTGACAAGGTGAGGAAGGTAAAATTTCAAACTCTAAGGGCTGATTTTGAAGTTTTAAAAATGAAAGAATCCGAATGCATTTCGGATTATTGTTCAAAAGTGAAGGCTGTTGTGAATCAATTAAGAAGATACGGGGAGGACATAGAAGATGTCTGTGTGGTAGAAAAGATCCTTTGCACTTTACCACCTAAATTTGATTTTGTGGTGTGTACTATTGAGGAGTCTAAAGATTTAGACTCTATGATGGTGGAGCAATTGGAGGGTTCTTTACAGGCCCACGAAGAAAAGATCAAAAGGAGACAAGAAGTGCCATTGGAGCAACTTCTTAAAACGCAGGCATCTTTCAAGGATTATGGAGGTGAAAAGAGCTACCGAGGAAATGGACGAGGACGAAGACGTGGCGGTCATGGAAGAGGAAGAAGTAACGGTAAAAACTTCAATAATGAAGCTAAAATTCACCAAACATTCAGAGGTCGTGGTCGTGGACAAAGAGGAGGAAGAGGACGTGGCTACTACCAAGAAAATAATGGACAAAGGTATGACAAATCAAAAATTGAGTGTTATAATTGTCATAAAGTTGGCCATTACTCTTGGGAATGTCGTAGCAATGTTGAAGAAAAAGCTAACCTTGTTGACGACAAGAAAGAAGAAGTTGAGTCAACGTTGTTGATGACACTCAAGGAAGAAGACAGGGATGATTACAACTCGTGGTATTCGGATAATGGAGAAAGCAATCATATGTGTGGATGCAAAGAAAAGTTTGTGGAGATCAATAAAACGATAAGAGGTAATGTATCCTTTGGAGATACCTCAAAGATTCAAATCGAAGGGATATGTACGATTCTGATCTCCTGCAAAGATGGTAGTCACAAGCTAATTCAAGATGTTTATTATGTGCCAAAATTAAAAAGTAATATTTTGAGTTTGGGCCAACTTCTTGAAAAGGAATATGACATCCACATGAAAAATATGCATTTTTGGTTTAGAGATTCAAGTGGAATTCTAATTGCTAAAGTGCATATGGCAAAGAATAGATTATTTTCTCTGAATCTTAAAACAATTGATGCAAAGTGTTTGAAGGCTAATGTGCAAGATGAATCATGGTGTTGGCACATGCGATTTGGGCACTTGAATTTTGAAGCGCTCAAATCAATGGGAGAAAAGAACATGGTACATGGGATACCATCAATCAACCATCCAAATCAACTGTGTGAAGCTTGTCTTCTAGGAAAACATGCAAGGAGGAGTTTTCCAAAGGAGGCCATGTCAAGATCAACCAAGCCGCTCCAGCTTGTTCACACTGATGTGTGTGGACCAATAAATCTATCTTCTTTTGGTAAAAGTAGATACTTTTTGCTTTTCATTGATGACTTTAGTAGAAAGACTTGGGTTTATTTCTTGAACCAAAAATCTGAAGCTTTTGCTGCTTTTAAAAATTTCAAAGTACTTATGGAGAAAGAAAGTGGCTATGAAATTAAAGCTCTAAGGTCCGATAGAGGAGGCGAATTCACTTCAAACGAATTTAATGACTTTTGTCAGTCTCATGGAATTCGTCTTCACCCCAACAAAATGGAGTTGCAGAGAGGAAGAATCGAACGATTCTTAATATGGCTCGATGTATGTTGAAAGCTAAAAGTATGCCCAAGGAATTTTGGGCGGAAGTTGTTTCTTGTGCAATTTATTTGAACAACAGGTCTCCAACAAGAAATGTTAGAGATCAAACCCCTCAAGAAACATGGAGTGGAAGAAAGCCAAGTGTCAAACATTTGAGAATCTTTGGGAGCATAGCCTATGCTCATGTGCCACATCAAGGGAGAGCAAAGCTTGACGATTGAAGTGTCAAGCATGTGTTTGTTGGCTATGATACGAGTTCAAAAGGCTACAAGTTATACAACCCAAGCAGCAGTAAGGTGGTGGTAAGTCGCGATGTTAAATTTGATGAAGAATTGGCATGGGATTGGGAAGCTCAGGAAGAAACTTCATATGATTTTCTTCCATACTTTGGTGATGAAGAAGAACCAGAGACCGTGGAACCTGTGCAGGATACAACTCCACCTCCTTCTCCAACCAATCTTGCATCTCCCTCTTCTGAAGAAAGTTCAAATGAACAACCGCAAAGGACAGGGAGTATTCAAGAGCTCTATGAGGACACAGAAGAAGTTACTAATTTTGATTTTTTATGTTGTCTCTTTGCTGACAGTGAACCAATGAAATTTGATGAAGTTGTTAGAAACAAAAAGTGGAGACAAGCCATGGAGGAGGAGATTGAGTCAATAGAGAAGAACAACACTTGGGAGTTAACAACTCTTCCCAAGGGTCATCGAGCAATTGGAGTGAAATGGGTATACAAAATAAAGAAGAATGCTAATGGAGATGTGGAGAAATACAAGGCACGACTTGTGGCTAAAGGCTACAAGCAAAGGCAAGGCATTGACTATGAAGAAGTCTATGCACCTGTTGCCCGCATGGAGACGATTCGTTTGCTGATCTCTTTGGCGGCGCAAATGAAGTGGAAGATCCATCAACTAGATGTCAAGTCAGCCTTCTTGAATGGCTATCTTGAAGAAGAAGTCTATGTTGAACAACCATTGGACTTCGTGGTCAAAAACCATGAAGATAAAGTGTTGCGGTTGAAGAAAGCTTTATTTGGATTAAAGCAAGCCCCACGAGTATGGAATAGTTGCATCGACAAGTATTTTCAAGACAATGGGTTCACTCGTTGTCTCCATGAATATGCTCTTTACCTTAAAGTTCATACTAATGGAGATATCTTGCTTGTTTGTCTTTATGTTGATGATCTTATTTTCACGGGTAATAACCCAAGGTTGTTTGAAACTTTTAAGAAAGATATGTCCCGTGAGTTTGAGATGACAGACGTAGGGCTCATGTCATACTACCTGGGCCTAGAAGTGAAGCATATGGAGGATGGAATTTTTATCTCTCAAGAAAGCTATACAAACGAGATATTGAAGAAGTTCAACATGCTCGATTGCAACCCCGTGAACGCACCGATGGAGAGTGGGACAAAATTGTCCAAGTTTGATGAAGGAGAAAAAGTAGATCCCACATTTTTCAAAAGTCTTGTGGGAAGTTTGAGGTACTTGACTTGTACCAGGCCTGATATACTTTTTGCAGTTGGAGTAGTAAGTCGCTTCGTGGAAGCTCCTACCTCCAATCACTTGAAAGTCACTAGAAGAATTCTTCGTTACCTAAAAGGTACGATTGACTTTGGGTTATTTTATTCTTCTTCTAATGACTTCAACCTTATCGGATTTTGTGATAGTGATTATGCGGGAGATATTGATGATAGAAAAAGTACAACTGGTTTTGTATTTTTCTTGGGGGATTCTGTTATTTCTTGGAGTTCAAAGAAACAATCAATTGTTACTCTCTCGACTTGTGAAGCTGAATATATAGCAGCAACATCATGTACATGTCATGCTATTTGGCTGAGAAGATTGTTGAAGGAGCTCAATTTGCCACAAATTGAAGCTACGGAGATTTGTATTGACAACAAATCCGCACAGGCACTCACGAAGAATCCAGTGTATCATGATCGAAGCAAGCATATAGATACAAGGTATCACTTTATCAGAGAAAGCATTGCCAAGAAGGAAGTCGAGCTCAAATATGTGAAGTCTCGTGATCAAGTTGCAGATATCTTCACAAAGCCTCTCAAGTTTGAAGATTTCCAGAGATTGAGATCAAGACTTGGAATGAAGAAGAAAAATCAAAATTAAGGGAGAGATTTGTGGGACCCATTTAAATAAAAAGAAAAAAAATGAAGAAAACAAGTTGAATGGACGTCTGACAAAGTTGTGCAATTTGCAAAGGAGCAAATCTGATTTTTGGTAACCAAATCGATGGCATAACCAAAACAGACTTGCAAGTTGTAAAACCAACCATTATGATTGGTTTGACTTGCGACAAGAGTTTCTATAAATAGCACCCTTCGGTTTCTCATTTCACACACCAAATCGAGAGAAGCAACAGAGAGTTAGAGAGAGTAATCCACAAATTGTAGTCTGTGTGATAAATAGTGAGTGGGAGTAATATTGTAGTGAGGTGTTTAAAATAAAGAGTGTTATTTCTTTTGAAGTTATAGTAGTCTCTTGACACTACTAAGTTGTAATATTATAGTGGTAATATTGCTCCGCTGGTATTGTATTTTATCCCGTTAAAATATTTAGTGTTGTTGTTACTGGGATTTTTTGTTTCCCAAGAGGCTGCGGAAACAATTGGAACTTATTCAGCGGATCGGGGACTTCCTTCCGCCGCCTCCTTTTCCGGTCATTTCGTTCTCATTCAAAATACCTACCCAACGAGGACAAAGAGTAGTAGTACTAGTTATCAGTTCTTTCTCAGTTTTGAGATTCATGAGTTCATCCAAAAAAGAAAGGAGTTATGGTCCAAGTAAGCAACTCCATAATCACATTTAATTTGGTAAATCTAGGGTTTTCTCTTGTATGCCTATGGCCGTTAGACGAGGAATTTCCTTGCCGAAAACTATTGCAGACGCCTTTGCTGATACTGGGAGCTTCTCTACTGGTTCTTTCGCTGCTAGGATTTGTTGGGTTTGGGTGGCGAGTCACATTTTTCATGTGGCTATATTTGTTCTTGTTGTTCTTGTTCATGCTGGGATTGCTTTGTTTCTCGGCGTTCACTATTATGGTCACTAATAAAAACGTGAGCAGAGCTCTATCTGGGAAAAATTATAAGGACTTGTTCGAGTTAGGAGATTACTCGCACTGGTTGCAGAAGTATGTGGTGAATTCAGAGAACTGGGAGGAAATTAAGAGTTGTTTGATTGATACCGAATATTGTCAACGTCTACCTACTGGCAATGGAGTTGATTTTTACAAATATAGCCTCTCTGCTATGCAGGTTCTTATTTTTTGTCTTTTACCATTTAATCTCATTTCTCAGTGAATTCATCTATTTTTCTAGTTGATTAGCCTAGCTATATTATATTATGAGGAGTTACTTTCTAGAGGGTAAAAAAATCAAATCAACTCAAATCAAAAGGGTTCATATATGAAATATGATCAAATTAATTTTGTTTAATCCCCCAGTTCTCAGTAACATTGAGTATGTAAACCATTATAGTCACTGCTATTGAATCTAGGTATGGATTACTGTTTGAAATAAATAAATAATAGAAAGAAAAGATAAAAATAAAAATGCCTTTTAAAAAAAATTGTTTTTGCTTTTTCAGAACAAACCAAAATTCCTTAATATCGTAAATTCGTAGCAAGATGCATCAAAGGTTTCTTCTGAAATTGCTGTAATATCTCCTGATACTTGTTGGGATTGTTTCCTCTTAGTTTAATTGTCTGTGTTTCGTGTTTATATGAGTCATATATAGTCCAGTCTGAAATTATATACTGTTTATGCATAAAAAAAATAAACAGATTATCGCGCCATGAATAATCATGCAAAATTACTTAACTATAACTCTATAAGTATATAGTGTTGGAAAAATATTGGTTTATGAAGAATAAGATTTAGCTTGAGGCGTATCAAAGACACTGTCCTTAAGGATATTTCGTCCACACCGTAATAAATATTATTAGGCGTATCCACCAGGATTCAACAAGCTCTTCTAGTATAACTAGGAGTAGAAACAACAAAGATTAGTGATGTCACACCTCCTTTTTTTACAATGTATAAGGGAGTTTTTCCATTTAAAGTGACATTATTCGAAATGGGATTATTTATTTGTTTAGAGTCGCCACTTGGGATAGGATTGGCTTTTGGTGTCCCAAGTCACCGGTTTAACTTGAATCCCAAATCGAGGAAAAATTTCGACTTCCCAATTGGAGTCTACGAACCAGAAATTCTGAATAAGGAATTCTGTTGACCCGAGGGAAGGTGTTAGGCACCCCCAGATCCCGTGGTTCTAGCACGGTCGCTTAAATTATTATAAATGGCTAAAATTTGATTTTTTTTATACATGTCATCCTATAGTGCAATTTTAGAATTATTTAACCGCTTTTAAGAAAGTGAACGTCGTTTACAAACGTGTTTTTGGATCATGTCACATGAAATGCACCCGGATCCTCGACACATTCTTATTCAACGTTTTTGGATTTGGATTTGGGTTGCATGAAATGCATACCCGTGTTTAAGAAGGTAAAATTATTAAAAGCGCGCCTAAAGCGACTAACGGGTTATTATCTTTGCGGAGGGCCGTGAAATTCGCTAAACGGCACGCCCCGAATTCTAAGTATTTTTAATTAAGCATTTAATGAGGGCCCCGCAATTTATGCATTTTGTTCGGCGAGGCTCATCTCACTTTATTATTTAAAGGCCAACCTAAAGCATACTATGATTTTCTATTGAATTTGTCTCTAAAGAGCCCTAATTAATTAATATTATCAATTGCTATTATTTAAAGTAAACAAGGAATTTGGGCCTCGAGTTCAAGTCCACACTTGAACAAGAGGCGCACCTCTTAATTCAAGCATGCTACTTAACGAGAAAGCCCAAAAGCCTATGTTGCAACATTAACCTCATATTTAATATTCATTCAGGCCCCCAATACCAAATTTTGAACTTGGCCCAGGGGGAAAGAAAACCCATTCAACTTTACGAGAAACTGGCCAGTCTTGGGCCTTCGCCTAGGCCCAAACGAGTTGTAAGCCGGAACTGGATCTGGGGTTGTGCATCAGTTAATCTGAAGCTCAATTTAAATAGGCTGTTGAGCCTTAATCCTTCAATCATCTATTGATTATTTAATTTTACCCAATACTCCTAAAACTCGAGGAATTAAACATGAAGCAATTAACACCTATGTTGAGGCCTTGAACAACATGCTACTGATTTTTCGATTTCACTTAAGACTCATAAATTTCAAGGACCTACGTCGAGGCCTGGGACTCAGACGCATATCTTCTGCTTTCAAAACTAAATCGTTGACGTTAACATTAAAACATACATACTGATTTGCAAACTCAAGCAAACTAGCATTAGAAGTTAAACTATACTACACTAAGGCTACCGATTTCAAGTTTATGTCACTTTTGATTTTAGAGTAAACTAGCATTAGAAATTAAACTATACTACACTAAGGCTATTGACTTTAGATGAATCAACACAAATCCAGAGTTCAACAGTTTAATGCAGTCCAAAGTTATTTACATTGAGTAATTAACCAAATCAAATAGTCTACTCGAAGTTTAAACAAACAGATCTACAACAAAAATTGCGCGACAAACTTCATTTCATGTCTCAAATTGATTTCTACATTGTGCCAAGCTTAAGAAGTGTACCTGGAAGTTACAGCGAAGGAGAAGAAGTCAGTAGCAGCACACAAACAAACAGCAACAAGCTCAACAAGGATCTGAGAACCCACGAGTGGTATCAAATGAAATCCAGCAGTTTAACCAACCAGCAAATTGAATTACCAACCCAAATTCAACTTGAAATTAACCCAGACACCTTAGAAAACCTTAATCACTGAAGGCAGGAGATACTCAAACCATTTCGACCTTAGATAAGCTAGGAATTCAACTTTAAAAACTGGATCTCGAAATTGTTGTGAAGAAACTTCAAGTGAACAGTAATATTTGAATTTTTGTACTCTTTTTTTTTTTTGGTTTTTCTAGATATTTTTGGATCTAGAATGAACTTTCTTTCTTTGAACTCTCAGATTTAATATTTGAATTTGAAATTCGAATTTTTTCAGCTTCCTAAACTTGCAAAAGGTGTTTTTGGGGGGAATTTTAGAGGCTGAAATTTTTTGGAATTTTTTCAGATTGTTCCAAACTTTCTGAAATTTGTGGGGATTTTTTCAGATTTTCAACTTGTGAATGAAGGCACTAGTGACTGCCTTTTATAGGCAAAGCTAAGGAAATTTAGAGTTTCAACTTTATATTTTAGTCCCTCTTTTAAATTCCAGTTTTAATCACTTAGCCCTCTATTTTCTGACTTGTTACTCAAGTTACTACACTAAAATTGCTGATGTTTAAACTAAGGCCCTATTTAGAAGACTCTAGAGGGTTCTAGATTTAACTACAGCCTTCCTATGCAACCCTAAGTGCCCAAAATATCCCTGAAATTACCTACCTAGGTCAAAATTAACCTATCCTCTTTTACCCTAATTAAAGACTATCAGCTATAACCAAACAGATTAAACTAATTAAAACTAAATAATAACAATCATGGAATCACTGATTAAAACACTAGTAACAAACAATAAAATTCAAACAATGACTAAAATCAACTAAAGAAATTAAAGATAGAAAATAACAACAAACAAAGCAGAATAAATCCTAATCGAATAAAGTCCAACTAAAATCAAACTAAAATCAGAAATCAGAACAAACAAGTAACCAGAATTAATAAAAAATCAAACAAAAATCAGAACCAACTCAAAAAATCAATCAGGACAGAATCGAACAACATTAACTAGAAGTTAAAAAATATGAGAATCGGATCAGTCAAACGAGAAATGTAATCAAAAGAGAAGGAACTCACTGATTTTGGTCTTCTACTTGATTGATTCTCGAAATTGATTTTTTGTTAATGTTATATGTTTATTTTGTTAAAATAAAACATATAACATTAGTAAAAAATCATTCGAATGATGAAATCCCCAAAACAGTGTTTAACTTTGAAACCCTAGATCTAAAATTAAAGGGGTTTCGCTTGGATTTGAAGGGTTCTAGTTTGGGATTTGGGAAGAGGGAGGTTAGGGGAGTATAGGGTGTGAATTTGGTTGAATTTGGAAGAGGTAGGGTTTTGGCCGGAGTTTCAAATCAAGATTCGAGGAGTTTGGCTAGGATTTGAGGGAGAAGAAATGTAGATCCGGAAAGAAGAGGTTGAGATGGGGTAGTGGTGTAAATTTGGACGAGTTTGGAGCTTCGCCGCCGGCGGAGGCGATTTCCGGCCGGCGGCGGAAGGTGGGAGACGGTGGTAGACGGTGGTGGATAGTCTCTGGGGTTAGAGGGAAAGAGACGATAGGGTAGAGGGGTCTGAGGGGGTAGGGTATTGTTAGGACATTTTTATACTAAGTGATGGGGGTTTCTCGTCCGTTGGATCAACAATCCTAGACGGCCAGGATTGATCCGAGCCAAACGGCATCGTTTTTGCATGGGGGGGGGGGGGGGGTACGTGGACCGGGTGGTTTTCGTGGTAGTTGGGTCCGAATTGGGTCGGAGATTTTGGGGACGTTGGGCCTGGGGGTTTAGTGGCTTTTGGGTCGTTGTTGTCCTTTGTCATTGTAAAAAATGGTCCCTAAATTGGTCCTAGTCCTTTTTGTTCCCTTTTAATTTTCTATTTATTTTGTTTTTCCTTCTTTTTCTTCTTTTTTTTTTGTATTTTTAATTTTATTTTATTTATTTATTTATTTATTTTGAATTTTTCTGATTTTTATTAAATGTAAGATCAAAAACTAAAAGACTCAAATTGAATCTAGCTAATTTCTGATTTAAACCAAAACTTAAGACAAATTCTAGAAATTAAAAGTAGAAATGCAAAGAACCATTTTTGTCATTTTCTTTATTTTTTGTAATATTAAAATGCACACTATTTTGTATTTTTGAAATTATATCAATTAATTCCTAAAATTCAAATAATAAAAGAAAAATCTTAATTCTAAGGAATTTTATAGGAGTAATTTTAAGCGTGGCAAAAATCACGTGCTCACAAATGAGAAGAAAACCCAACACAAAAGAAAAGGGAAGAAAAGTTTTTAACTTTGTTCTTTTTGTTACCCCTCCAAAATAAACAAACGTATACTTATATATGAAATCCAAATTTGACATCAAATTGTTGGCAAAACCATTAGAAACTTAAGGCCATTAAGGCTCTTAAAAAATTGCAAGAAACATTCAATTGAATCAATGGTCAGATTGAAACGTTCCACACTAATGAGCATTCAT